CGAGACTATTCTATTATTTTGGATTAAGCTTGAAGCAAATGAAGCGCAGAACATTTCAGTACCAATAGATTAGATTACCTATTTGTAGATTAGTACTGGAGTCTCATCTTTWGCTTCACAGCCTGCCTACAGGGGCCACACCACCTTTACATCTCAACTCACAACGCCAGGGGCATCAGCTGCTGCACGGGAAGTACCTGTTGGACAGAGGCGTCCTCTCCACACATCGGATCTGGATGGTGCTGAGCTCCTGCACGCTGCCGGGGCGGCTGCCGCTGATGGCCGTGTTGGGGATGCGGTACGTCTTTTTATGCCGTCGGGAGCAGCAGGTGCTGGTCACGCCTTGTTGGGACGACAGAGACGGGCTGTGGCTYGGGGGTCTGTTGACTGTGGAAACCTCCATACAGCTCTCTTCATAGACCTGCTCATCCACAAACTCGTGGTTCTAGCCCAGAGGAACCCGACAAAGGGACAAAGCACACACAGAAAGATAATTGAACATATTAATCGTGATTGTTTAACGGCTTAAATTGACACAACTGAATAAACGGGGTAAGTTAGACAGCTTATTCTTGATTACGGTGTTTAGCCCATATTAGTCTGGGCTGAATACCAATACAAATGTAAACACTGGAACAAAATTAACAAGAAAATGTTAATCCAAAACATTTTGCAAAATAGCATGTGATTGTAATGTAGTTTGCATTATAAATATCTGTATAACCTTTGAAGTGCCACAAAATAGAGGATTATGTTTATTAATAAAATGCAAGTGGTGCTTATGTAAGCACTCTAAATGTCAGTTGAAAATAAATAAGATTTATTAGATTGAACTATATTATCATAAAATTCGTAAATATTTTTCCGATAAGTTTATAAGGCTTCCTTTTGAATTACATGTTAAAAATCAGGATCTGAAACAACATTTTTGAGGTATACATCTATCTAAAAAAATAAATATTTAAACAAATAGAAATTTTTATTAGAGAAGATGAAATAGGTATTTAAAAGCATCCAAAAAATTCCTAAGTACTGTGGATGGATGTATCAAAAGCAGTTTAGAGGACTGAGCATTTTAGTTAGATGAAGTCCTCTTTATTCATGCAGTCTTCGCTTAATCCCGCAAAGACAGTAGTTTTATAGGGTGGTCACAAAGATGAATCCAAATTCACTCAAACAGCCAGTTTACATGGTTTTGTCAAGTGATTAGGGAGTGTTTCACACCCAGCCACAATGTCCACATTTTCTGTGCACAAAAGCAATTGAAATAGTGATGTTGCTTTGGGTGACCTAGGGAGGGGAGGAGATGCAGGGAGATGGGAGAAATTTTTATTTACTTAAATGTGTAAGGCCAAACTAAGCAAAAGTTGAGATACATTCACATGCAGTTTGAGAAAGTCTCCTTTTTCAAGAAAAGTTCCTCTGTGTACTGATGGAATTAGTCCATATATCCTGAGAATGTTTTAGAGTAATTGTTTAAGGAACATTTTCTGCATTGTTTTACACTCAGTCTCACGTCAAATTTGTCAGCCTGTTGCATTTTTGTGTATTAGAATGAAGTAAACTATTTTTCCCCTGAACAATTTTGCTCTGATTTGAAAGGTGCTGATGTTTTTCAAAATTGTCATATGGTGCCAATATAAAATATGTGAACAAAGTAAAGACAGTAACACCTCTGGCCAAGTGTTTGCGATGAATGGAAATACCTTTATAAGCATAACATTTTTATTTCCATTTCTTCCCTTCGTCTTCACTTACACATAAGTTTGTGTGAATTAAGAGGTGTTGAAGAATGCAAATTTCAAGTAATAAGGAAAAAAACAACTTGCTTCACAATTGACTTTTATAAGGCATATGTCAGTCACTATCAAGATTTTGAACATGATCACACAATAGACATAAAGTTCTGAGAGAAAAATAACCTAATTGCTCTCTTGAGATTACGTTCAGGGGCTTGCAGTATGTTTGCCAAGAACTATGTTATTTTTCTGATTAAAAGTAATTTTGTACTTCTAAAACTTTTATGGAGCAACRATTAAAAGGTTTTATTGACTGAACTTTTAATATAGAGTGGAAACATTTTTAAATCTATAATAGCACAAGTTAATAGAGTTGATTATASTTATTAATTAACTGTTCTTAAATTAGCTAAAAGTAGTTTTTTAAATATAATTTTTTGTGCAATTAGTTTCATTATTAAAGTAATTTTCACAGAATTCCACAACGTTGCCCACTCTGCATTTCTGAGAGTGGATGAGATCTTATCCTATTGACTTTTCAGCAACAGAGAAGAGAAAATATGCCTTTTTTCAGTATCATGAGCGTTATAGCACAAAGGGTGCTTCTACCACAAAGGATGGTGAGAGTCTAAGAAGACACATCACCCTTCCTGTTGTACAATGAACCAGAAACTTGTCAGATTCCAGATGCTGAGGGTCCAAACTGTCATGTTCCCACTAAAACTTCAGGAATGCATCATCTCCAGAATCCAGCTTGGAGCTGCTGCATATGTTTCTGTGTTGATATGTCATATGAACTCAGGGCTAGTAGCAGGACCCAACAGAAGCAAAAAAGAACGTAGGTTCAAGAAAAAAGGTAATACTTGCTCTACCACTATGATTAAAGGAAAGGTGAAACTTTGGGAGCTGAATTCAGCTCCAACCAAATGAATAGAATATTTTTTCATGATTTCTATGACAGTTTGACAAAATCTGTGGTTATTACTCAGGTTTTTAAATATGTTTGTAATATAAAACTGTGGAAAAATTTTAAAGGCAAATTGCTATTATCAGGTTCTGATACAAAACGTCTCAGAAATGTTTCAAAAGGAACCAGCAAGAATCTTGGCAAAAGAGAACACAGTATGCTCTGAATAGCAAGTAAGACATTCTGTCCTACAGCACATTTTATAAAAATTAATACTCCTAAATTAAAAGTGGAGGAGATATAAGCACCATAAGCATATGGGTGACCTGTTGCTGCCTAAGGGTTGTAAAAAATTGGCCCTTTTATTTTTAAAAACTGCTGTCAAAAGGAGAACATTGAATTCCACGCATACATATACGACGTTTCAATTTAGCAACATTTGTTGTGGGAAATATTTTTACTGTTWTTTGTTTGTTTGGAGGTGGTTGGRTTGTTGTTTGTTTGTTTTTTTGAGAAAAAGCAGAAAGACTCAYAGTGACCTCCATCAAATACAGCAGAAGCTGTCTCTCTCTGGTATTAATATGCATTGGATATAACACTTTAAAATAAGATAAAACAGCTTTTCTTCCCAGCATGCTACTTTAATATAAAGGCTTATTAATTAGAAGAGATAACTGAAAACATTCAAAAGTAGCTGGTRTTGCAATTCACAGGGAAACACAGTTCTCTTTGCTTACCGTAGTTTTTTCCAGGCAGTGGAGCAGGTGGTGGTGCTGTGTTTCAAAGGAAGAGCCAGATTTGCCAACAAAGGCCTGTTCTTCTTCATTGGAGGACTGTTGATACACAGAACTCTGTATTATTCTCAGTGTCGAACAAGAGGGCTTTTATCCAAATATTTGATCTGAACTRATCTGGATTGTACACAGTAGCACAACTGCAATGCTTCATATGCAGCATAAGAAAAACTATTTTGCACYTTATTTTCTTTTGCTTGTTTTTTAATCAAACTATTTTCTTCACTTGCATCTCCTTTTAAATGTTTTCATCTTAGGTCTTTTATGCATAATAAGATAGTACAATTTACAAGTACAATCAACACACAAGCTTTGAATGTTGGATCAATGCATGCATAAAATTATTATCAACTTAAGTGACAGTAAAATATTTGTTTTTTCCTGGGAATGTGCCTCATTTGAAGGAAACTAAAAATAGTTGTCCTCCCATGATCATTTCACAGCGCTAAAGAATTTGTGGTATTGCTGCTTACACAAAAAATCATGTCAGTGCTCCCAATCTACTGGGTTTAGAAAGCRTGTAGCAAATATTACTGACACAGAATGAGGAACTAAGTAGAAAGCATCCACTGTTTRTTAATTGCTTTTATTCACTAAAAACCAAAAATCTAAATAGGGGAAGAAGTGAGAAAATAGAAAAGATTACAATTCAGCCTTGGGATATTTGAAATCTGCAYGGTAATTAAGCTATTTGTGTCTTTTTAGCTCAAATATTTGAGTCCTCTCAAGCAGAAGAGGAAAGAAGGGCTCTGACTGCTCATCTTTTGTGCTAGACAGGACGGATGGACAGACAGCCACTTCCTCCTCTTCTGGCTATAGGTTAAAGTATCCGGCTGTCTTACACGTTGAACAGAAAAGCCATAGAGGAATAAAAGCCTTCCTGTATCCCTCAGGGAATAACCTAAATGCCAGAAAATGGCASGGATTAAAAACCACTCTGTCTGAGTCTTTCTCAGCTGGGTASAGCTCTGAGCAGCCAAGGGGCTGTCTCCCAGCAGCGTGGGTCACTGTGGATCCCAGTCCCAGCTGCTGGTGCTGGCTTCCTTGTCAGAGGTAAGCAGGGAATTTCCTTCAGATAGCATTAGATTACCATGCATCTGAGGTAAGCACCGGGATTCTCCTTAAAGCAAAGTAGGCACTTGGAGGGAAGCTTCACACTCTGCAGCACCCTCTGTGCAAGCMGTGCTCTAGAGCTTCCTTGTCCTTTACTGATGATGAAACCTGGTTTTGTCAGCCATGTTAAACCTGTTTAAAGTCGAGATAAATCCAACCTACCTCTGAAAAGTCAAATGCTCTGCATTTTCCTTAATGAGTTCTACAGGATCTAACTCTAGAAATGTGGATTACATTGACTCCAGCATCTCTATCTGAACATTTCCCTCATCTCTTAATACACCACCACCAACTCTCAYAATCTTCCTTTAACAGCAGTAATTGTCCGATTTATCCTTCCTTAATCTGCCTCTGAAGGTAGCATTGCCCAGAGCCCCGAGGTGATAAGCAGGGCCCCAAGCCCTGGTGATAAGCAGAATAAAGTCCTGCTGGGCTGTCATTAAGTGGTTACTCCGGAGGTGGAGGGAACACAAACATTACCTGCTGCAGCTGGTTACTCAGCAAGCCATTGCGTTTGCTCTGCATGTAGGCATTAGCGCTCCCACTCTTGGCTGCACGGATTCGAGCGAGCCTGGCTTTCTGTGTAAACAGACAAAAGGAAAAGTGTCACTGCTACTCATATCCATTATCATGTTTATCTAAAACTGCTAATTGGAATCAGCTGCTTATGAATACCAATCTCACAATGACTGATAGACTGCATTGCATCCATCCTCCAGGTGGAGCAAATCACAAGTGTCTTCCCGTTTAAAATGCATATGATAGACGTTTTTATTTGTTTGCATGTATCAGCTACTAAGAACAATGACTTTGGAGCAGGGATTAGACAGATCAGCACGAAACATTCTTCTTTTCTTCTGCATTGCTGCAACTGCTTCTCCTTGTGTCTTGTGGGGCAGAAACACGGACATCCATTTCAGTTGCTRTTGCAGTGAAAATCTCTTTAAAGGGAAATAAAAGGTTCAGAAAAAACCATAATGTTGCAACTTCTATGAGTGGGTTTCTCAGGGTCTTCTGGGTTTTTGGARTTCCAAAACATGATAGTGCTTTTATGCTGTCTCCCAGCTAAATGCCTGAATACTGGTACCAGACCAGTTTAGAATCATAGAATGGTTTGGGTTGGAAGGGGCCTTAAAGAACATCTGGTTCCAACACCTCACCATGGGCAGGGATGTCACACACTGCATCAGGATGCTCAGGACCCCATCCAGCCTGGCCTTGAACACTTCCAGAGATGGGGCATCCACAACTTCTCTGGCCAGCCTGTTCCTGTGCGTCACCACTGCCTTAATAAAGAATTTCTTCCCAACRTCTGATACAAACCTGCCCTCTTTCTGTTTAAAACTATTGCACCTTGTCCTGTCACTATTTGCCTGTATACGAAGCCACCCTCCCTCCTTTTTCTAAGTCCCTTTTAGGTACTGGAAGGTGCTTTAAGGTCTCCCTGGAGCCTTCTCTTCTCTAGGCTGAATAACCCCAGCTCTCTCAGCCTGTCTTCATAGGAGAGATGCTCCAGCCCTTGGATTATCTCTGTGGCCCTCCTCTGGAGCTGCTCTAACATGTCTTTCCTGTGTTGAGGACTCCAGAGGTGGATGCAGCAATGCAGAGGGGGTCTGATGAGGGCAGAGTAGAGCAGCAGAACCACCTCCCTCACTTCCCRGCCATGCTGCTTTTGATGCAGCCCAGGATGCAGCTGGCTTTCTGGACTGTGAGTGCACAGTGCCAGCTCACATTCAGCTTTTCATCCCTGACAACTCTCAGGTTCTTCTCCACAGGGCTGCTCTTGATGACTTCTCTCAGCCTATACTCATGTAGAATTGCCCTGACCCAGATGCAAGTACCTTGCACTTGAACATTTTGATCTTCATGAAGTTCCCATGGGTCTATTTCTCAAGTTTGTCGAGGTCTCTCGGTGTGGCAGCTCTTCCTTCTGTTGTGTCAACTGCACTTCTCAGCTTTGAGTTTTCTTCACACTTGCTGAGGATCACCTGATCTCACTGTTGGTGTCATTGATGAACACATTGAAGGGCACTGGTCCCGAGACAAAGCCCTGAGAGACACCACTGAGCACTGGCCTCACCTACCTCTTCATGTCTATTGGTATAACCAGGCTTAATACTTATCATCTTTGGTCATGGACTGTTCACAGCCTGATTTTTCAGAGACTGCAGGTGTCAAATTTCTGAGAGAAATTTGTGTTTTCTCAGGTGAGMCTCATTGCTTGTGAAAGTGACTGTCATCCAGAGTAGGACACTCGTGAGTGAGGGACATTTTGCATCCACTCAATTTTGTACAAAACGTAGAACCCAGAATTAGCAGAAAGCATGAAGAATGGACTCTCTCAACTATTAATGTGGAAAACAGGAGGGATGAAATTACTAGGATGGTATCCTGGTGCTGTGTTTTTTTTGTGGCTGGTTATATATATAAGAGGGAATCTGGGTTTATCTTCGTGATTCAATTTCTGATTCTGAAAGCCAAATGCCTAGCAGCATTTGGAACTGAGTGGCTGGTAAAGCACAGGAGAAGATACAGTGAAGGACTTGAAAATCCAACTTTGATATGTTAGTAGGGATTTTCATATCTGATATTTACTCAGTTGATATTTTCAAAAAAATAAAGGGAATACTTTCCTCCCCTTCCTCAAGTTTCCCCCCTTCCCCAAATTAAATGCAATCACTTATGGAGGGAAGCAGCCTGGTCATTGCAGCCACCAGAGCTCTGGCATGATTAATAATTAACTGACTTAGAGGAATGGCTCAACACCACATTTCTTTGCCCTCACAGCCTCAAACKCACGGATCTTCTCAAAAGCAAGCCAAGAAATTCATGACAGCTTACAGCTAAGATAGCTGAAATCTGGTTTATACTATGTCATGTATTTATTATCATTTAATTATTGTGAAAGAAAGTAATGCTCTGCATGTGTGCATTCTTGAGCCAAAAAGCTCACATAAGAKACTATTGACTAATTTTGTGATATATTGCCCATTTTAGAATAACATATAGGTTTATCAACTTCCTCCGTGCACACAGCTTTTCCAGCAATGCAGTTGACATATCTTATTCTAGTGGTGAGGAGAAAAGATCCCTAATAACCTGGCTTGGGGTCCCCAGGAGCAACCCTGTTGAGGGGGGACTGTTACAGCTCCCACCTTCCTGGCTCATTTGGGTTCTTAGGTGGCACATCCAAGGCTATCAGCAGTTAGGGCTCAGTACTCAGGGCTAGCAATTCAAAAGCCCCTCGGGCAGGCAGAAAATATGTTGTTTTCAAGGTGGTGCTCCTGTGATGCAACCCAAGTGTGCTGGGTTGAAGGGTGTGGTTCAAAAAAAAGAGTTTTACTTGCACCACAGAATAGTCACAGGTTGGAACAAGTGCACTTGGTTATGCTCATAAATATATAAAAGATATCTCTTAGCAGTGCCCTTAAGAGGARCTTGAGATGCTTTGGAAATGCCTTTAGAGGATGCAGCTCAGAGTCCCATAAATATGTTATTTCAGCAACAAATGTTTTAGCTGTGGTMGTTTTCAGTCTGCTCTTTATACAGGGAGATTCATTAGATTTAATGAACAGACATTTAACATACATTAGTTCTGCTTTTCCTTTTAGCATGCATATTCATTTTCTCTGCAGTGATTGAAATAATAATTATGGTGCAGCACCATTTAATAAAGAATTATGAAAAACATAACAGTCCATCAGACTATCTTAATATATCAAAGTGCTATGACACATATAATATGAAGGTTGTACTTTCTATGTGAAGATTTAAAATTGCTTTGCAAGTATGAATTTATTGCATCTTAGAAAGCTTTTGTGAGCTAGAAAGCAATTGCTTACATCTTTCTAGCTGAGGCTTATTCAGATGGTCTGAATTTATGTCATTTACCAAAGAGAAGACAGTAAATCTATTACYGAGAGAGGAACCAGATATTGTGGCTTCCATGTTTATACTCCAGCTTACAGAAAATACTGCTGAAACTGGAGGTGTTTACAAATCTGTTAAAGTGATAAGATTTATTTTCAGTTCTTCTGCCTGATTTATATATGAGCCTGTAGTGTGAGCAGTCTAGTGACTTCTCACTTTTCCTATCAATGCATCATTAAAAGCTGATGTCACCCACAGGATTTTAAGGGCTGTGTGCTGGGGATGGAATTCCTSTGAAAGACACCAAAATGAGGTGATGACATCAGGAAAACTGTGATTACAGAAGTACTGCATTTTCTTTTAATCTGCATTTTCTGTCATGTATAACAGAATGGGACTGACAATTGCCCCTTTCAACCAATGCAAAGCCATCCCTAATCCTCCTCTTTTTCAAATATCTATGGAAAAAAAAAAAAAGTAAGGATTAAGTTCTCCTGAAGTAGATGACATCTTTGCTATGAAGTTTTCCTGAGTATGAAACTTTGATTTTGGCAATCTTAACATGGTCTAGGACTAAACAAGTGTAGCTGAAAGTACTGAAGTACTTTAGTACTTCTATATAGTCTCATGAAATTCCTCCATAATCATCTCATCTCTATCTTCCTAAAGCAGTTGATGACCAGTCTAATTCTTGCCTTGTATTTGCACTGAACTTCTCTTTCATAGGTATGCCTTCCTTTTTTATAGCTTCAAATTTTACAGTATGGAGCTGGATCCTTGTCTATGGCTTCATCCACAGAATTCACTGTTATTCAACAACAGTTAGCTCTGTCAGTATAAATATTTATTTTCACAAGGTTTTAAGTAGTGCTAAATGTAGCACTGTGGGGTGTTTACAGCATCCAGCTTTTAACACTCAGATGCCCTCAGCTGTCCAGCTACTTTGAGAGAATAATTTTATCAGGAAAAATTTAGGACAGGGCTTACTGCAGTAAGTACTGGGAATAATTTCTGACAGTACTGGGAATCATTTCTGGCAAGATTTTCTTCAACTTGCTATGCAAGCATGGATAGCCCAGGTAATTTAGTACTTAGGTAGTTCCTGTTGTCTCCAGCTGCTCTCTAGGCTATATAATTGTCTTACTATGAAAACCCCAAAGTTACAAATTACTTACCTCAAAGTTATTATTGTTTAATAATTTTGTACATTAAAATATTAGAATTCCTTCACAGTCTTTCTGTGTGCACAGGTTTTGTTCAGAACAGAGCTGGTTTTTCTCACAGTGGTTGGTGTGGAGCTGTGTTTTGGATTAGTGCTGAAAACAGAGTTTATAATTCAGGGATGTTTTAGTTACTGCTGTGCAGTGCTTGCACAGAGCTGAGGCCTTTTCTGCCCCCTGACTGTCCCACTGAGGAGGCTGGGGGTGGACAAAGTGTTGAGGGGGGACACAGATGGGAGAGATTCCAGCTGACCAGAGGGTTATTGCACACYATATGGCATCATGCTCAGAAATTAAACTGGGTGCTGGTGGGGGCTGGCAGGGGCTGCCCTTGCTATGGGACAGGCTTGGGACTGAGCTATTATTTTCTTCTGTATCACATTTTCCCCTGCATTTGTTTCCCTTCCGCCCTTTCTGGTGGTTTCTTTCCATACYTCATAAAAAATATTAGAATGTTTTTATGCCCACCCACAATTTTTTGCACTTTTACCTTTCTGATTTTCACCCCATCCTTCTGGGGAGGAGAGAGTGAATGAGCAGCAGGGTGGGGTTTAGCTGCCTGCCTGGGTTGAACCAACCCTGTGGCTCCTACAGCAAGGGTGAAAATTGTCTAAAAAATCAGTTACATTTTTGTTTATATAAATTGGTTTTCATTTGGTCTTTCGTAAATTCACCCTGTGTGTTTGTTTTTAAGTGAAAAATCAAGCCCACATTTCATGTTATGATTTTCTAATTTTCAGTAATTGCAAATAATTGACTTCATATTAGCTGACAATAATTTACATGACATCAATATGCAGTAGAGAAGAAAATGCTGTTTACTTTGCACATTAATGGATATGGAATTAAATAAGGTTCATACATTTCTTGAGTTGTGCCCTTTCACAATCTACTGAAATTGTTGTTCAGTAAACATGAGTTCTACATGCCTTTTTYTTTTTTTTTGCTAAACTCAAAAATGATGGGTAAGTTACTGTTATGTTTCTGCAGGCCCCCTGATATTAATAGCCTATCTCATATAAAGAAGTCAAAATGGCTAGCATGGTTCCCTACTGCAAACACCCTTTTCTAGACTGCCAGATGCTGTTAAGCAGTTGTTGCTGCAGTTTATCCTAGAGCTATTTATAATTAGCTGGTAACTGATTATTCATAACTTGACAGATGAATACATCATGCACAATTAATAAATAATAAACCCAAGTCAATCTTCAAGATCTATTTTGCTATGTGAAAGTAGAAGACCAAACTTGCATGAAAGATTCAGGCTGAATTTTATGTCTAAAATCAAGTTTTGGAGCCGATGATAGTTGTTTGGCTGTTCTGTTGAGTCATCATGCAAAGCCACTCTAGGCAGAAGGTGCTTGGGCAACCAATGTTAAGGCTCTTTWGCTCCTCAGGTAATGGACAATGGCAGATGTCCCTGCACTCAGGCACTTGCTGGCTGAGAGGAAACAAGGCTTTTGCCTTCCAAAGACATGTAAGGAAAACAGAAAAGGCATAAAGCAAGGGATACTTCATTCAGGATATGTAGGACTTCATAATCATAATTGCTGCTGCAGTATGCTGGGATGGACCTTCGGCTCCAAGCTGCCATGGAATGGTGAGATACCTATTCCGAGAGGGAAGCTGTGCCTCCCTCTGTCTCTTCCCTGGGCTGGTAGTCATCCCAGTGAATATGACTCTGGGAGGGCCCTGCCAAATCTTAACCCTTGATGCTTCTCCTATACAGAATAGGAAATTATACCCAAATTCCCTTCCCTTCCCTCCCCTTTCCTCTTTTTCATTTCCCTTCCTTTTCTTGCCTTTATACATGACCTGTTACAACACAACTCTCATTAACTTTGCCCAAAGTTAATGGGCAAACAAAATAACAGCCTCTTGAAGCTGCTTCTAGCTGAGAAAAGCTACACAAATAACATTTTTTCAAAACTGTCTCAGTAGTGATAAAGCTGCTTGAGAAGAAGGCACAGTAAGACTCCAGGGCATAATTAGTTATGCCCTGAATTTCAATGTCTAGTTTGGATTATTCATTAATTATTTTCTTGTCAGGACAGACTAAATTCTTGGACCTCACTATCTGTTAGAAAACAATGTTTTGATAAGCATAGATGACTTTTCTATATTTTTTCCTTTCTGTTTTTTTTATATTGATTGCGAGGAGTTCCCTGTACTGCAGCAAAAAGCTGGCCTATCCTATCAACACCGTCTGTATTACAGAGTGGGATTTCATGGCAATTATAACAATGTATTTTCATGACTGGAAGCAGGACCTTCCTTTAAAATGCATTCAAAATGCAATGTTATAGAAATAAATTTCCACCTTCCATCTTCTCCCAAGAATTAATGCAGAGTGTCTTTTTGCCAAAAAGAAACAAATGGTATTGTCTAATCTTRAACAACTGTGCAGAACTCAGTAAATGCAGAAAATGATGGTCATGTGGCTCTTGGATCCTTAAGTAAGTGACAAAATTTTTCTGCTGTAAATTGCCAGTGCTTCTGGAACTAGATTTCAAMTCTTGAGCGAAGAGCTTTCTCTGGAGTTTCCTTCCAGCCCAAGTGTTTTGCAAATTCTGAAGCCTATGTTGATTAGGCTTCTGTATGAGATATTGATAAAGTTGCACAATTCAACTGTCTCAGTCCAGTGGAAGCTGTTGTGGCCARCAGGAGATACCATTGCCTGCAGGGGTTTGTGCTGCTATCCATGAAACAGCTCCTTCTTTTAAACTCATGCTCTTCAGCCTCAGAGAAYAGAAATAGGTTTGGTGCCCAGGGAAACATTTATTTTAGAAAATGATGTAAAGCCTCTATTGTATTGAATGAAGAAGGAATTTCATACTTCAAGAATGTGACCTTTTTGCCTGAATATTCTTTTACAAGGCAGTAGAAACCCCCTGTGAAATGCAAGGCTCTACTTCCTAGCTAAACATGGACTATACAGTGCCCATGAAGTGCTTTTGGTTGGTTTTTCTTTTTTTAGTCCATCAGAGCAATATTCACTTCAATWTCTCAGTCACTTTTGATTGAAAGAGATTAGCTGCCCAATAGGAGATATCAATGAAACACACATCCAGGGCTAAGTTAATCAGACCTCAAAGCCATTTTGTCCAAAGCAAGAAGGGCATAAACACAGTCAGAGGAGATCTCTCATCCTTACTGTTGGCATTGTTCTGGGGAGTGGAGGAAAAAAACACTTGGCAGSATTGCCATTCATCACTTCGTGTTCCTGTTTGGAACATACAATGAGCTCACTGTTTTGCAAGGAGAAAAAGTCAGTTATTAACTCAAGCAGCTTCTATTCAGGAAGAGATTATGGGGAATAGCAGCCAGTCTACCAATCTGACTTTTGTGAGATATTTTTTAGTGTCCATCTCTTTTTCACTGACAAATTGTGCTGATTTTGGCTGGGGTAGAGTTAATTTTCTTTACAGTGGCTGGTGTGGGGCTGTGTTTTTATCCTTCCAGTTCTCTCCCCGATCCTGCTGGTGGGGGAGAGAGTGAGCAGCTGCAGGGGGCTTGGCTGCTGGCTGGGGTCAAACCATGACACAAATATAAAGCAGGCCTAGAAAACTCTGTTCTGTGGCATGCTGTAGGAGACAGTTTCTATCTGAAATGGTTGGGCTGGCAGCTATTATGAAAGCTCCGAGCAGGCACGCTGATTTCTGGGATCAAACAGATCTATTACCCATGGCTGGCACACTGCTCGGGGGCACAGGCAGGAGCACGGTGTCCTGGATGAGACACAATTGTTTCTCTGCTGCCATTCCATAAACAGAAGCAGAAAAGTTCTTGACAAAAACAAGGTAGTGTAGAAGTGACATGTTGTCAGCTGTGAAAGAGAGGATGACACAGCCAGAATTAGGCTGTGGGGGAAATCAGCATGCAGAGGGTGGGTGGAATTAGTAGATAGATAAAGTATGATATTTGGATCCCTGAAGTGGCCTATATTTTAGATCAGGTTTCTTTGAACCTGGTGCTGTTGTCGATATGAAGCAGATGCAGCCTGCAACATCCTGTGTCCSCAGCCACGGTCTGCCTGTGTGCTYCCCCCACAATGATCCTGCTCTCCCTGGATCACTGGACACTCAGGACCTCTGAAGAGAGGCCATGGCTCCACAAAAAGCCCAAGTGGTGACACCTCAGCCTTGGCAATCACKCCACCTGTGTGGCATCTAAAGCCCCCAACTGCCATCCACAGCAGGGTGGAAGGTGAGGCATCTCAGCTCCCRGAACACAGCTTCAGGTGACTGTGGGTGTTCTCTGAGCTGTCTCTGGCACTTTGGAATTTGCAGAAGTGGATTAGAACTGGTGCATTGGCAGTGATGYGGAGATGAAAGGGACTGTCCAGTCTTGGCTGCTGATAAATACTTCCCAGCTCCTGACTTCATCCATACGTGTCATGGAGGGAAACCATGTAGATCTCTTTTTGTAAATCTGGATATTTTAGTGAGAGACTTAGCAAATCAAGGAAACTGGAAAAAAAAAAAAGACTTTTACTTTCATTTTTTACCTGATTGAGCTGTTTATCTGAAGCCTTTGAAGTAGAGCTGAGGAGACAAGTACCCCAACAGTCAGATTCCCCCAGAGACTGAATCTGGGACTTAAACTAAACCTAGATTAGTGAAGCAATCTGTTAGCAGRGACATTAGAAATCATTATTAGGCTTGCTTGTGTGCTTGTTTGTTTGTTTGCTTGTTTGTTTTTCCTCAGAAGTCTGTGGTAGAAAGTCTGCCTGAAAAAGAACACCGAACTTTCCGTGAGTGAGATTGCAGCTATTGCCTGAAAATACTGGATCTAGTCTAACCAGTAGGATGAATTACCAAAATTATAGGTCTGTACATTTTGACAGAAAAGATAAATGAACTGGTTTTAGTTTGTGTTGGTTTTTTTTCCCTCACAAAAATAACACAGTACTTGCATCTAGGATGTGGACTAGGCATGTAGCACATACGTACAATGGSTCTCTTGCTATGAAACACTCACTGCAAGGATGCACAGTTTATATAAAAGTCAGATTTTATCTATTGTTTAACAACATAAGGGTGTGGGGGGGGGGGAAATAAGAAGCTCACCTTCTGTGCCCTGCGCTTGTCTGCTCGTTGGTTCTGGTGGTATATACGGCTGAAGTTGGAGACAATTACAGGAACTGGCAGAGCAATGACCAAGACCCCACTCAGGGAGCATATGGAACCAAAAATCTTGCCAGCTATTGTCTTTGGCACCATGTCACCATACCTGGGTTAAAGAAAACAAAAGGCTTAGTAAAGACAAAATCTCTTCTAATTATTTAATTTCACAATTAATTAATTGCACAATAGATTTTAATTCTCTTGTAAATAATACTTGCTGCATATAGATAATGTTTTATTCACAAATACTTACATACACAGCATGCCCATTGTTGTGCATAAATAATTTGAATTTGAAACTAATTTTAAGTCYGCTGTCTGTCAAACCATGGGCAGGTAAATCACATGTTTTACCTGCTGTACTCTTCCCAAGCTGTCTCTAATTGAAATGGAGAGAGAATGACCTTGCTAGGAAAAAAAAAATAGTGTTGAAGTTCAGTCCTTAYGCTGTTTACTTGCAGAAAGAATTCATCAATTTCATTGGCAAGATCTGAGAGAGACCACTTGGCAAATTAGATGCTAAACTGAATAATCTGTTGTCTCAAACTGCTATAGTACTTTCATTTAGCAGGGTGACACATTTTTGCAACAGGTTTCCCAGGAAATCATAGWCTTTCTATCATTGTATTTTTTCAAATTGGCTGGACAGAAGTATGGGTGACCTAACTTCTTGTTGCTGACATGAAAAACTGGAGTAGCTGAGCTCCAGAGATTCCTTCTACCGTCTAGGTGAAAGCAAACATGAGAAACTCAAGCCACAATCAAGCAATCAAACAAATTTTAACTGCAAACCTGAGAATGCTCAGAATTACTAAGGTTACCACCTTTATTTATGATATTGAATATTGTTTTATCCAGCAAGTGAGAACAAAGTRCTACTGATGTATGTAAAGGCACTCCAGTGGCAACTTATTAAGAAATATCAGCTCTTTGCATTTTGCCATATTCTATAGGAGACAAGTATGTAATTACATACTACAGAATTTAATAAAAAGATGAATTACTTTCAAGTACCATTTTGTTTTCAGCTTTATTGGATTTTAAATTATTATTAAACATCGATTTTAGCTTGAGTTTAGTATGCTTGTGAACAGAGAGATAGCACATTYCTTATTACAAAGAATTTATATACCCTTATACAAGAAAAGTTAAGAAATAAAACTGCAGGGGAGACAGTGTTTAGAAAATTGTATCTCGAAAACAAAACCTGTCTGTTCAGCAGGAGCTGTAAAAATTATAGAGAAGAAGGGGGAAGTCTTCAAGTCACAGTTCAAATTGTGCACCTAGTCATGAGGAGTGGATAAAAGGGTGAGGATATGGGATGATGGAGAAACTATATGAGATTAGAGGACACCTCCTAGCATCGAGAGCTCAACTCAGGTCCAAAGGAGGTTATGTATCACCTTGTAAATGAAGATGAATGGTTTGCATTTTGTAAGATATAAGGAAAGTGTTGAAAATAAATATTCAAATAAGTTGTCATCCAAGACAATAGATAACCAAGTCTGAAAACCAACAGATAACCAACCTTATAGATAACCAAGTCTSAGACTACTGACATAGATTATGTTGTGCTAAATAAATATTTGGTTGCTTTATCAAACATATGCAAGTTGTAAAATAATCACACAAATAATGTAATTAATATTTCCACCAGTACCCACCTGCCCCCTCCTCCCACTTAGATGTGAATGCTATTAGTTTCTCATTTTGTGCAGGATTGCATGAAAAATACATAATTTGRTAGAATCCATCTTTTAAATGAATAGTATAACTGGTCTTAATTAAAGATATTAAAAACTGGAAAAATACTAGAAAGAGAGTCATGCTTTCCTTCACATCAAYATTTGCACCCCACAACATAGGCATTTTTGGTGCTTATCTCTTCCTAAAGCCAGAGCTGACTATCAAGTGTCAGGAGTGATGTATGCCCTGCTGTTCTTTCCTTTGGGCAAGGAAGTGGATAAATGACCTTTCAAGGTCTTTTTGACAAATGGGATCCCCAACACCTCACTAACCCCATTTTTTTTCCAGGCAGAACAATAGAAAAACAGTGGGCATAGGGCCAGGGTGGTGAGCTTTGTGGAGAAGTCCTAGGATCAAATCACTGATAGACATTTCTGCTTTAYAGTATTTATTAGTTTTACTTCATTCTTACTGATACAATCCATGTATTTTCATCTATTGGGTCAAACTGTGTCAACAGAAACCTGACAAAACMAGATTTTGAAATGCAAAATTTACACATGCCCAGTACTAGATCTCTTAAATTAGATCACTTCAATGAGATTCCTAAACCTATATTTAGATGCTTATCACTTGAAATGCTAAACTGCTGAACCTCCATAAGCTTACATTGTCACCAATGGCAGCTGTGGACAGAAGGTATTGCTGGCTCTAATTAATTTTGCTTGAAATTGCTCAGGGATATAGTTCATTCTGTTCATAATGTGACACTATAATTATATGAATTAAGAGCAGACTGAAGCTTTAGGAGCTGTGACAGGAACCACTAGCTCATCTATCTCTTGCTTTTCAATATTTATATGTGGACCTAACTAGTGACATAAGCAGATGCCTTTCCATAACATTTTAGTGTTACAGAGTGAAATAAAAAAAATGAGGATTGCTTGACACAAGAAGGTATTTTACAATGTTTTTCTTACCTGYTGGAAAAATGTCATGCAGATAGATATACTGCTTACTTTAAAATAACTTTCAGTTACTTTTTCAGCTTGCATCAGTTGTAATACGTTAACATTTTCCAAGGGAAATGTTGCTTGTCTGTTATTTAGTGCTAGTAATACCTTTCACATCATTAATAATTCTTATATAATTAGTTTTTCTCCTGTTGCTAACCACTTTGTTGGAGATGTTTAAATAAAATTGTGGTCAGAAAAAATTACTTCAAAGAAATTACCCTTCCTAATTCTYACTGGGTGAGAAACGTATTTGGTTACTTTTGTGACAAAACAGAGGTTTTGCTACATTTACCCTGGTTAGCCTTGCTCTCCTCTGGKACAGTGACATAGATTTTAGTCTAGTGTGGTAATGATCAGAATTGTTAATGAAGTTCCTCCTCCTGGGTCAAGCATGACTGTTAGTTATRCCTCATATATCACAGAACACCACCACCAATGGAAATGGATGACATAAAATGAAGAGAAAATTCCCTCTATTGCACCAGCTGCAATTGCTTTATTCTTTGGAAATTCTAAACTAAAAGAAGAGTRTAACTCATATGGCAGAGAAGCTCTCAGGTGATAGTATTTCAAAGTGGAAAATTTATGCTTGATCTCTAAAACAAATTCTAAATTCTGCAGAAAATCTGATTTCTTCAGCTATAGAGACACAACAAATGTAGGATCTTATTAAGTATTTTTTACAGATTCTATTTTCAAAAGGGAATTATTTAAAGGTTATCTGCTTATCTTACTTTTCTTCAGGCTGGAACTGCAGACATATTCTCCTTTATTTAAGTTTTTCCCTAGTTGCAGTTTCTCATATATCGTCTGTTCTGCATGTGTCTATTATTGTAGCCAAAGCTCAAGCCAGTCTTTGAGCATTTATTATTTGTGCTGACAATCTAATTTTGCAATGTCAGAAATGTCATCCCAATATTTTATGTTCTGAATGAATGAAGAAAAAGAGGCATCATACTGATCCCTGGTATCAATCAGGTGCATTCTACTTCAGTAGCCAAAAAGGGAAGGAAAAAGGCTATGACAAACTAGGTGTGTCAATCAAGTTTTATCCAAGTCAGAAACAACAGGAACAAACTAATGCCTAGGTTTCTCTAGAAGTAGCCCAGACAGGCCAGACATGTGCTATTGGTCGCTCTCCATGGATATCTGTTCACTGTCACTGCAGGGATGGATGGATGGATGGATGGATGGATGGATGGATGGATGGATGGATGGATGGATGGATGGATGGATGGATGGATGGATGGATGGATGGATGGATGGATGGATGGATGGATGGATGGANGATGGATGGATGGATGGATGGATGGATGGATGGATGGATGGATGGATGGATGGATGGATGGATGGATGGATGGATGGATGGATGGATGGATGGATTTAAAAGCATTTGTATTCATCAGGTGACAGACCACTTTTACATATTTGACTCCTTACTGCAAAACAAGACAGCAAGCCCGTGGATTCCTTCATTCTGCAAATACTGAAATTTCAGAGTAYTGATATGAGTAACATGGGTGTATGTGATGCAGCACTTTGCCTGATAGACTGGGGGGCGGGGAATGAAATGCAGCTTGAATCACAAAGAGAAGACTGAGCCCTTGCAGGAGCACAAGAATATTTGGGTTACAAATGCTCAGCCTGTAATCCCAGCATTGYCATGTCAGGTTTTACCCATGGACTTGCCAATGCAATACTGCTTTCCTAACGATGAGTGGAATACATCTGGTGTYGCATACCCATAATTCAAGAAATTACAGACAATAAAGGCTCTATTTGTGGCATCACCAGCTATTCATCCTATTCCTGAATCTAATGAAACTCAGTTTTTGATGGCTGTAAGATAAAAAATTTCTTAAGTCAAGGGTCCAGATTGTATCTGAAATGAATAATACTTTTTGGCCATTTTTCCTTGATGTGAGAAAGAATGTATTTTCTTTAATAATCTTAAAAAATAGAGGGAGTATACTGCTTATTTAACTCCTGTTTGTTTGTTTGAACACGGGAGTAACTTTTTTCCCAAGTGAAAAATAAGTGTATCGTGGATGTCAAAGTAAGTAATGACAGAAATTGTAATGTAACATATTTGTGTGTGTTTTACATCTGAAATGAATATTTGGAATAGCTCACTTTGGATCAAAACACCCCCACGCGACAACTATACCAAAACTGTAAAATTGAAGGACATATATAGGAAGAACAAATCCAGCATCTGCATTTTTGCAAAGCCTAAATACTCAAGGCTGAGACTGAAGGACACAGCAAAAGTTAAAAAAAAACCCTCGCTACAATGGGGTTTTCTGACACTAGAGGGCGTAAACGCCATTAAAACCAAATGCAAATGCAGAAACATTTTAAAATGCGTGTTACAGATACATGTGCCCTCTCCCACCTCATTAKA